GTCACAAAACTGTCTGTTAAGAGGGTTCTCTGAAAATCTTCTAGCAGCTTCAATGGGAACACACAGCATGCTGTGTCTTTTGGTAAAGTCAAACAATCCAGGTAGAAAACATACTTAACTGTTTCAGGTATTTGGGGATATTTCACTAGGAAGTAGGACTATTTCCTAGTGAAATAGTCACCAAAAAAGTTGTAGTATATGTTCACAGATTGCAAAACTCCTTCACTTTCTTGTGAATTTAGTATTTTTTAAGCCATTAGATTTTCCAGTTTCTCATGATTGAGCATGAGGGATGCTCAATCTCGGTCTTGGGGGATGGAGATGAAGAGGAGGCAGAGCTGAGTGTGAAAAATTTTACTATCCTATGAAAATTTCTGAGCTCTTGAGGAAGCAGATCAAAAGCATTTTTTTGCCAAACTAAAATCCATTTCTTTTTATTTTGAAAATTGCAAATTGCTTTTAATTTAGACATTTGAAAACGTGCTGTAAAATTAATTAACTTGCATGTTGAACTGAAAAATTACATTAGTTGTTATAAAAAGGCAGTGCTTATTTTGGTAACATTGAAACTTTTACGAAAAGCTCTTCCTATAAGAGAAATTCATTAAATTTGATCCTTTCCTGCAGAAAGTTTTATTTTGCAAAAATACATTTTCTTACAAAAGAAAAAGCAGTTCAGAAATTCCCAAAATGTCACTGCTGTTTTCTTCTCATTCCAGAGTTGAAGATGATTTAGAGAAACTCTTGAAAGTAACCTCCAAAACAAAACCTAAGGTACCATCAAAACCTAAGGTACCATCAAAACCTAAGGTGCTATCAAAACCACCACTGCCTCAGAAGCCAGACATTGCCTCCAGGAGCACTGATTCATCTCCACTGGAAAAGCCAAAGGAAAACAGGATTCAGACAATGAATGAAGTGGACATTCTCAAGTATATCCAGGAAAATGAATCTATCGACAACCAAGATACAAGTCTTTTTTGAACCTACCTATTTTTAAAATGTAATGATGCCTTCTTGGCCTAAACTCCCAGTGAGCTCAAGTGACAGTAGCAAGAATTGATCAGATCTCTTTACTGTCACAGTGCTCATTTGTGTACCATCATAGAGAGAGCAGCAAGTTTGACTAGCAGAGGCTCAACATGATGTTATCAAAACAGTGCGGTTGTGGTATAATGTTGGCTTAGATTTTTCAGGGGTTTATAGGGAGTATGGACAAGGCCACAGCACTATAGGTTGTCTACCACTATTTCAGTATCAACATAGCACAGTTTTGTCCAGTTTAGTCCTGATTGAAAATGGTAAGCGTATTGCACACATGGCAACTGCAAATAGTGTCCAACAAATGGTCTGAGGCAGGACAGGATGCTGTTCCTGTCATTTTAGACAGGGTATTTCAGCTCACTGGGAAGGTCATTTTCCTTTTATCCTGTGCATTTTTGTAGCAGCCCTTTGTTCCCTGACTGGTATTTCAGTAATTTATAACCAGGAACTGTAAAGTATAGGTAATAGTTCCTCTGTAGTTCAGAGAAACACTGAAATCCCAGCTAAGCCTGACAGTCTGCTGCTTTTGTTGTCGTGCAAATGCCAATGTGTAAGAGAACTTGTAGGACTGCAAATACTAGACACTGTGCATCTCTGGCCCCTGGGGAGAATGTAAATGACTGAAGATGGCTAAGAGTGCAGCTCCAGACATATGCAGAGGTTGCAGTGTGTAGGAGGTTTGGGTGTTGTAGGACTGTAGTAAACCTACTCAAGATTCACAAGGGCTAATGTTTTTCAGCCAAGTCTTCCTGGGCTCCACTGTAGTTAGTGGAGAGAAAGAGGTTTCTCCAGGAGGTAATTCAGTGCAAGTGTCCTAATGGAGGAACTCTGAATTGCTCTCTGGAGTCACTCTCTTTCTCCTTCCCTTCTTCCAGAACTTAAAGAAGCAGCCATGGTGATTTATTCCACTAAGCTAAAATGAGGTTTTTGATAAAACAGTGATCTGTTCATTACTATGGCAATGGTTAAAACAAGGGAGGCCAAACTTGGGATTATCCAGAGGAAAAAAATAGGAAGAAAATATACTGGAGAAATTTTAACATAAAGGAAAAGAAAAACGTGGTAGAACAGGCATCCCAGACTACCCTCCTTCTTCCCTGGCTCAGGCACTCTGGTTGAACATGCTGAATTGACACCTAATGTGGGTTGATAACTTGCTGTCATGTAGAAAGAGATTCGTGAACTCATTTGGTGTGTGCTCTATCCAGATGTGAAGACAAGCTCCCCAGAGGGAAAATATTAATATATTTAAGCCATATCACTATCTCCAAATTTGCCTTTCTAATATAGACCAAAATAAACAGAAAGCATTATATATATATATATATTTTTTAATAATGAAGTTATCTCTATTAGTATTAACTTTTTAAGCCAATAGCAAATATCATTGCAGGGGGGTTGGACTAGATGACCTTTGAGAGTCCCTTCTAACCCAAATTATTCTATGATTCTATGATTGATTCTATGATTCTATGATACAGATATTTTGGTTTCATGGGACAGAAAAAACATAACCATTAGCTCTCCTCTATGTACAGTATGTTTCAGTATAATAAAACATTTTGCTAACCTACAGGTGTTATTGTTATTGTTCTCTAGGTTAGATTCCATTTAAGAAGAGGAGCGTTACATGGTGTTAAAGTGCACACTCAGCTAAAACCCTGTGTAAATAAGTATGAAACCAAGAATGTAGCTGGGCTTATAGTTCCTTTGTGAGCAGCTAAAGGTAAAGCTATATATGGGTGAAGGTAGTACCTGATCCTGTCTGTTCTCACAGTGTCCTCGTGCAATTAGGAAGCTTGTTTATCCCATCCTGCAAAAGGGGAACAAAAGCACTGAGGAGAAAATAAACGGCTTGCCAGAGAGCAGGCAGGGAATAGCAGGCAGGAGAAATTCATTCAGGACAGCCTTCCTATTGCACTACCTGGTGTCACAAACAACCACTGTATATTTAACTGAGAGCTGAGGAATCTTGTTCTCCACTTTATTCAGCACTATTCGGGGAGACTACTTGCGTTTCTGTACTTTTGGCCTACAGCCCATCATGGGCCTGAACACTGCTAACCCGTCCATATCAAGGGCCATGGGTTTAACGATCAATAGCCTGAGTGCAGATCTTCACCCTTAGCAGGGGATCAACGAAGGAAAAGGACTGAGATTTCTTTAAATAAATCAGAGAAATCATAGAAGAACAGAGCTGGCAGCGACCTGGGAAGACCAGTTTGTCCGCCATCTGGCTTGTGTCCTGCTGGTGGCAGTTCTGACTGGCCAGAGCAAGGTGGTATTGATGTGAGGCTCCAACTGGAAGAGTAGGCAGATACCAGAGCTGGACACAGTGGCTGAACGTTGTTAGGCTAGACAGATATCTGAGCATGGGCACTGAATTATTCTTGCAGTGGCAGTAATTATGCCTATATTATCTCTCATAGACATTTTTTTAACCCATCATTAAAAGCATGTCTGGCTGGAGAGCAGCACTGGAGATGTCATAGCCTCCCTGTGTGTGCCATTACAATTCTTTGCCATCCTATTAGAACTGTTTTCCTACTGTTTGACATAACTGTTCCTTCCTGCAACTTAAACTCGTTACATCTAATTCTCATCACCACAGAAAGAGAACAAAGTATATTCCTTTCAAGTCTCTTTTCTAGGCTGAACAACTCTGCCCAGTGAGGGTGGCAGCAAGACAGGTCAGGACGTCACTACAGTGCCAGGCTCTCACGACTTGCTGTGCCCTAGATGAATGTTGTCATCTTGCGTTGGGTTTCTCCCCTCTTTTTAGAAGAGTTGCTACATATCCACATACCAACTTGCCAGAGGCAATAAAGGATGCCAGCATCCCACACCCTTTCAGTAACACCACTTGGTGCAGTGACACAATGTGCAGCCTTTGTTCCAGCTGGGACTATGTTTTTCTTTCACCGTTCCTCATAGCGATGTCATCTGTCTGCCTTCCACCACCTCTAAGAACTCCAGTCAGAAATGGCTCATGCTTTTGCAAAGCAGTAGGAGGGTAGACATTATATATTGCCATCATAACCATGGGAACACTCCCAGTAATACTGATGTAGCAACAGTATAGCTGTATCCATTTTGAAGGGGCAAAAAATACTTTGCCCCCCAGCCCTCCCTAAAATTGTCAAATTACCTAAACAACACAGGGAAGGAAGAGCTGTTAATTGTTTCCTGTGCTAGATTTTTAAGATGACTTTAAGGTCAGTGTTTTAGTTCAGAAAAAAAATCTATCTTTCCTGTCAAGGAACTAACATAAAAGGATCCTTCATAAATCCCAGTGTTACGCAGTTGTTTTACAATGCAAATGTCTAGCTGCAGTAATATTTATAGACACTTAGAGGTGAGTTACAGTCCTTGAATAAATTATATATAATGAATCATTATTATACAAGAGAAGAATGTCAGACAAATGTAGCCCAGAAAAATTGAACATATTATTTGAAATGACATAGGGAAACCACACAACATACTTTGCATCCTGCCAGACCAGAACTTTCTTTTTTTTCATACATCACTTCTAGTAGCAGCTATTTTATTAGCCTGCTCTTGACAGCTCTTGAAATTCAATTATGGACTCTAATGTAGTTCTTGGCTGACAGGCATCACCTTTTGACATTAGTAATAGCTAGCTCATCAGAAGATTTGAAAAGCAAGATAGTTATATTTAAACCCTTACAAAAGATGTTTTCTTTAGTGATTAGAACTCTAATTGCTTTAGAATCTGCTCCTTGTTTTGCATACCCTTATGCTTGTTACGTGCTACAGCACTAATTAACAAATAACATTATATACGTCATTATTTGTGTCACAGTTAAAATACTGATTTCACCAAGCTAGTTATTTCACAGATGACCTGCTCAGGTCTGTTCTGTTGCTAAGTTTTTAGGAAAGCTAATTCCCACGTAGTATTTCAGGCCTAGTTCTGTCAGTGACAATTTGAGTTGAGTCTAAAAAAATATATTAACTGAACCTCATATTTCTGCTAATCTTTGCCCAGATTGCAAAGAAGCTGAGCTTGCTACAGCAGAATACACAAGTCAGCCTGTGATTTAAGGTTGTGAAAATGCAGCACGCTCGTGGGGCACTGAGGCAGTAGCTAATGAAAGGAGACTGTAAATGACCAATCCCTGTGGTCATTAGATTTAATATAGAGTACAAGAAAGCACTGATATTTCACTTAGAAATGTGACTGTCACTAATGTCACCAAGGATGCTTGAATCTGTGTGTTTCTGTGCATCAACCATGTTTCTTATCGATTGATGCGATCACACATTTGTGACAGTTTAAACCTCTGTAAGTCAAGAAGAAAGAGGGGGTTTACTGTGAGGTTTTGTCTATATTATTACTTTTCATCTCAACAGCAACAACAGGACTGAATAAAGTCACTCAGTTGCTTTCTGTATTGCACCCATTCCTTCCTTGATTCATCTTTAAACCCTTCTGATCCAATTTTTTCAGCCCTCACCGTATCACTGATCTTCCTCTATAGCCTTCCGCGTGCTGCTGGTGCTGAATGTCATGCGTTGAGCTTAATGAAGAATACAAGTGAAGGGAAATCATGTGTCTGTGTTACTAGAGAACCATCTGTAGGGTACATGCTTTGAGTAAAAACACTAGCACTGAAAGGTGATGATGGTAAATTAAATTAATAGTCAAATTAAGTGCTGCTGTGGGAGTTCAGAAGTCAATGAACCTGCTTAAAGGTTTGATTAGTCATAGATATTTAGGGAGTAAGTTTTATTCGTACCAGGATGTCATGGGTGCTAAAAATTCATATGGGGTCAAGGAGACACTGGTGAGACTCATGGAAGAGAAATCTATCAGGGGTTATTAAAGATGCCGCTTAGAGCTTGGGAAGTCCTTGAGCTACAAGTTGCTGGAAAAAAAGAAGAATATTCAACAAGCAAGTATTTTCGTATTTCCC